CACAGGTTCACACCCCAAACCTCCACCCTGGGAGACACAGAGTGCTCACTCAGCGAAGGGGTCAACCGCCATGGACCAGGGAGCCAAGCCCACAGTGGCACAGCTGTAAGAAACAGCAACGACCTGGCAGACCTAGCACAGATTCACAAGGGTACCAAAGGACCCCTTTCACCAGTGAGCCTCAGCAGCTGCTGCCCTTCTGTGCTTCCGAGACACCCAGCCCCAGGTGCCACAAATTAATAGAGGGAAAGGCTCAGGTTTTGTTCGCTTTGTGTTTTAAGCAGCTGCAACACGATCATCCCCTTGGATCAGCTTTCCTCCCACGCAGCTAAGGGGGAAGCCACGGTCTCTGGGCACTGGGCAGTAACTGGATCCTGCAGATCCAGATACAAGACACTGCCCCAAAAGCCTCTGCCAGGGAGAAATTGCCTCTGGTGTTGACACAGACCCTGCTGCAGGGAGAACTCCCACCACCATGCAGGTAAGTGATTTGGATCGTTACTCAGGGGGCTAGCATGAGGCTTCTATGACTCAAACTGTGCCAAGAACTCAGGCCAGGTACCAAAGGCTCACCTTTGAGGACACATTTTAACATTACAGATCTGCGTTAGCATCTCAGGCCATCAGTAGCAGGTTAAAAACAGTCAGAAAATGTTAATAGTGAGATATTCCTCAGTATTTCTACACATGGATGCACAAAAAGCCTCCTAAACTAGAGTGAAGTCCTTCTCGGCTTGGGATCCTGCTGCACCACAAGAAGCAGGGCTGCTGTGGTTTCTAGGAAGAGAGCCTTGCACTAATGATAGAGACCACGGTCTAAAAGTTGTGATTGTTTTGCATGGATATGTTCTAAATGCAGGGAAGCTTCTGTATTGTAGGAGCAAGAGAATCCAGTGTCTGTGTCTTCTCCTCCCCAGCTGACCCTCTGCAGGCTGCGGACTCACCAGTGGTGCTTCATTCTCTTTAATGTCTTGCTTTTCCACGTGCTGCTTTTTGGAGCAGATTTACTGGAGGAATACTTCCTGCGGTCATTGCCTCTTTCGTACACGGATGCGAAGGCTCTGGAAATCAGGGAGCGGGCCAGGCAGCTCGATACGGAGCCTCTGAAGGCCAATCTCTCTTACAGCATCAACAGCGCAGCGACGTGCTCCGATCAAGAGGTATTCCTGCTCGTTCTGGTCTTCAGCAGCCCAGAAAACAGGACAAGACGCAACGTGATCAGGCAGACATGGGGCAACGTGACAGACACCAGAGATCACACTGTCCTCACTCTGTTTGCTTTAGGAAAGGCAGCTTCAGTAACCACCCAGCTGGAGATCAATGAGGAGTCTCAAGAGCACAGAGACATTATTGAAGGCAGTTTCATCGATTCTCCTGGGACGCAGACACAAAAGATGTTGATGAGTGTGGAGTGGACAGTGACTTTCTGCTCCCATGCACAGTATATCCTTAAAGCAGATGAAGACATGTTCGTTGGTGTTCCCAGTCTGGCTGAATACTTGCTTAGCCTAACACAACTCGAGGACATCTACATTGGAAAGGTCATTCATCAAGGAGTGCCCGACAGAGACCCTCAGAGCCCTGGCTTTGTTCCCATCCATCAATACCCAGAGGAGCTTTACCCAGATTACTGTGAAGGGAGCGCCTTCATCATGTCACAGGATGCTGCTCGCAAGGTGTTTGTGGCCTCCAAGGAGGTGGCAGGGTCAGTGCCCCCCGATGTCTTTGTTGGGATCTGTGCTAAAAAAGCTGGCATCACTCCCATTCACAGCTCCCGGTTTTCTGGGGAGAAGCACATCAGCTACAATCGATGCTGCTATAAATTCATTTTCACCTCTTCCAACATGGAAGAGGACGAGTTATTTAAAGACTGGAAGGAAACAAGCGATGGGAAACATTGCTCTTTACTGGAAACTTACTACAGTCTGGTGTCCTGCAAGGTTTTGACCTATATCGATAAGTTCAAACAGTTTAACTTGGATGGAATAAAAAATGAGGTGCTTCATTTTGTCAACTAAGACTTAATGTTTGTGTAGAAAGACTGAATTTCCTTTTACCAGCTGTTTTTATCCTTTAACATCAGGAATAACAATGTCCTCTCAAGGTTAGGTCTCTTTCCTTCCACAGCAGATGAACTCCCAATGCTATAGTGTGTTAGAGCAGCAGAACTGGATGTACCCTTAACTACTCAAGTACCTACAAGTGCATGAATACAAGTAAAACAGAATATTCCAAGAAATTTTGTGTCCAGTGTTTTCAGGCTTTTGAAGTTCTCTACTTTATGCCAACGCTCCTTTTGCACCTGAGGCATCATCTACCCCAAAGTCTTTTGTACCAAAGGGGAATCTTCCTGCCCACAAAAGGGAGCTACTTCTGAGCAGCCCATTTTACAGCACCGGTGGAACTAGAGAACAGTTTACAGTGGGAATAGACATCAAACCATCACGGGAATTGCTCAGGTGAGCAGCCCAGGGAGATCGTAGGCAAGAAATCTAACTTACCTGCTAGAGAATCCTGTATCTCTGTCAGTGATGGCATCAGAGGAACACTGACACAAGTAGCTCAGTGCCACAGTTACGCTGGAGAAGAGTATTGGCAGTGAAGTCAGAACACGTTCCCCAACACAGTGGTAACAACACTATCCGAGTGCAAAAATTCCCCATTAGGAACAGAACATAAAGCCCACCCGTGCCTACATCCTCCAGGTTAACTCTTCTGCATCAGCAATTTCAGCAGCAGAAAGACCAGCTGGGCAGATTTGCTCTACAGCTGTGACAGACACACGTGGGATGAGACAAATACGTACCTCTGAGGGCCTCACCTGCTCCGAAGGAAGTGGAGGTGTGCTCCAAAGGATCCGCAATTCTTAAGTATCAAGTTATGCTGCTTGTTAACCAGGGTCAGATGAGGTGGTCTGGGCTGTGGGTTTGGCATTTTTAAACCAAGTTCATGCAGGTTCAGCGTGTTACCTCAGTTCTCATTCTCTAACATTCCATTTCTGGTTTTATCTCAATTCTCTCCACTTGTTACTTTACAGAGGGGAAGACGGGACAACACACTTAAATGTTTCCATTATATACAAGATTCAGCAACCCATAAGCCATCTGGCAGTACACAGGATGAGGGGGGAACTACATGTAGTAAGGGGTGAGCACCTGACCAATTAATTGGAATGTTGAGCTCAAAGCTCAGCAAAAGAAAGCATATGTGCACATACAAAAATCCCCTTGTTTGGCATCTCTGTGTATTCTAAAACATTGTATTTGGCAAACGTACCATGCAAAGCAGATGCTAAAGACTTAGCACACAGAGTAGCCTTCAAAGGCAACAGCTGAAAACACACATGGAAGAGACTCATGAATTGCAGAAAAGGTTTCTACATCAGTTTCCTTTACTGAGATTTGAGCACACAGCTCATACAGAGCTACCAGCACACAAAGCCACCTAAACCAACAAAGCTAAGTTGTCCAATACAAGCACAAACTCGGGACTTCTGTACTCTGTTTCATATCCTTTTTAGTGCTTTCATATTTTGCTGGATGCAGGAAGGTTCTGAGCTCTCTCTGTTCACAAATGAGACACGATGTACCACATTTCTCACTAGCAGATGTTTATTATGCACATCTAGGATGAAAGCGTCAGCAGCAGGATAACGTTGGATGACAACTTTTATACATCTTAGATCAGAAGCAACAAAGCAGATCACTTCCATTCCAACAGCTTATTTAATCTTAAGGGAACTTCCTCACCTACCTACCTTGCCCTTCCGAGCCCACTTTGACTCCTTGCCAGCAAATTTTGGCAGGCAATACCATCACCTCTGCTGCAGGTCAAAGTTACTACAAGCAGGAAGAGAGTTACTGCACGAGTAGCTCATCCTGCTTCACTTGGCAGAGCAGGGACACAGGGCAAGTACTTTCCGTAGATGTATACCTGACCAGACACACTACTAAAATAAGCAAAAAAGGAGTAATTTCATGTTTTATTATGCTCCCCCCCAAACTATTCCTTAGATTTCTTATGTCCTCAACAAAAAATAATATAAACCTTCTGTATAAAGTATATCATGGTCTCTGTTTATGGATAAAGATACATCATGTCACTAGTGTCCAGCTTGCATCTCAGCAGCAGCTAGCTGACCATCTTCAAAAGACGATGAAAACATGGTAACGTACTACATTTTGTACTCCTAATTCAGTTCATGTCCTTAAACATGAAAACTTTATGTTCTTAACCCTTTTAGTCTAACTCAGGCAACTAAAATAGTACTTTTCTTAAAAATAACCCTTAAAATTAAAAAAAATAGTTAAAAAATAGTGTAAACAATTTCAGATTTGGTTCTGAAGCAGACTTGCAGTGCTAGAGCTCACGCTCCTTTCAAGCGAGTAAACTGAGCTGCCATACACAGCCGCAGTCAGCCAGGGAGCCAAAGCTCCCAATTTGGTTGTTACACACTCTATTCCTTTATTTTTAAAGGGTTAATAGCTTTTTCCTACCCCACATCCTCAGCATAAAGAGTGTAAACAATATGTAGGATTATTTATTCAAGCACAACTCACACCCAGCAAGTTGAAAATAGAAGAGAATCCAGTTCGTACTCCCTCCTGTGGACAGAAGGCTACTAGCTCATTCTTGCCAGCTGGGCTTTGACAGAATATGCCTGGCTGGAAGAGTGTGTTCCATGCAAGTGCCAACTTTGGCAGCTATAAAATATAAGAACAAATACAGAAATTGTGGCAGCAGCTGAGGCTACAAACCTTGAGGTGTTTTGGTGTTGGTTTGGTTTTAATTGAACTGTGATCGACTGAGAAGACACAACAGGAACTCCAAACCCAACAAGAGTTTAACCAAACACCAATCGTTTCTGCCAAGTAAACCAGCCAGCAGTTGACACTGCTCACCCTGGTTACCTGGCTCACAGCAGTACACAGAGAACTTCTGCCATGACATTCTATGGGAAAATACACGGTGCCCTATAGGTTTTGATTTGCTCTCATGACTTTCATTTCAGAGTTGAAGTGCTTCATGTTCCTTTAAAGAGACAATTTAAAGAGACTCCGGCATGGGGAGTCTTTACACCTATTTCAGTAACACGGTTTGCAAGGGGAACCAAGACACCAGTGACATTACTCTGCTCCTTCCACAGCTGTAGTAGCAACTGCCTTAACATAGTAAGGGCCTTCATGCAAATAAGCTCTAAGCCTCAAGTAATACTGATTCCCAAAGATTTCTGCAATTGTTTTAGAGTTTACAAGGGCCTTGACCAGTTCGTATTTGGCATCCTTTGAGGCTTTGTCAGGCTCCACAGATCTGTCTACAATGTACTCCACGAAGCCTGGACTGTCAAGCATCAGCTTCTGGGCCCATGGTTGGTTTGCAATAGCCTAAACATGAAAAGAGAAGGCGAGGGGGAAAGAGGGAAACATTTTAAAACTCCAAAACACAGTTATAGAGTACACTTATGCAATAGCCAAAGAACAGGAAAACTTAAATGGCCTATTCATTCTAAACAGCAGTTACACAACCACCACTCAAATCAAGCAGCAGGGTTTAACTGTACTGGAAAATAAGTACAGCTCAGTGCTTATCTTTCAAGTCAAGTGAATTATCACAGCAGTGCCTCCGATATCGAAGCAGCACCCTAGAGCATGGCTGATGCTTCCCCACACTTCAATTCATAAGGCAATAAGCATTACAGACATGACATGTCTGATGCATTATTTAAGTGGTGAACACAAGTAAGGCATAATGAAAAAGGACTTCTTTCTGACCCCTTGCGGGCTTCAAGAAGGGGTCTATGGCATTCACTTAGAAAACCTCAAACATCCAAAGGATTACAACTCACTACCTGATCTTTAAAACCAAAAAGCACTTACAGTAAACACCCGTAAAGCCCCACAGTGGAGATCAGGGAATGGCTGAGTACTGATGCTCCTGAAGAGTTCCAGTGGCTGGCTGGACAAGGATGTGAACCAGGATTCAGTCATTCTTAAAAGGTCTTCTGTCTGCTGCTCTGGCTACATGCATCACGTACAGAAAGATTTTCATTAGGATTCTGAAAAGCTTTCATGTCTTGAGTGTACATTCAATAGTTAAGGAAATTATTTACAATAAGCCACTAGCAGATTAAACTCAAATAGTTTAAATTCTCAACATATTTCCATGACTGAAGAAATGGCTTTCTCTATTTCATTTGGCTTGGAGGAGACATTTAAATAAATTGATCTTGATACACAAGAGAAGTGCTGTGCTGGAGAGCAGCCCTGCCAGACAAATGGAAATGGCTTATTCACTCATTTAGAGCTATCCTATTAAAACCATATCATATTAAACTGTTGACTCTCATTCCCTTGCCAAGGATGTTTTGACTTCATGTTTTATAAACATGATTTCAGAACACCTGGCTTCTTATAAACAAACTCCAGACTTGAAGCAAACAAACAGGAGAAATTCAAACCAGTAAAGTTAATGACTTGGAACATTAGAAAGCTCCCACTTCTACCTAAGCTTGATGCTGCAAAAGGTCTTCACATAGTCAGATACACAATTTCATTCTTGTAGATTTAAAAGATAGCAAACCAAACCGCAAACTTACAGGCAAGTAAAGAAGAGAGGAAATCGCATCCAAGCATCGAAGGCGTAACTCCGTGGGGGCATTCTTTGCCTGGTGCCCTATTTTGCTCAACAGACTCTGAAATCTACTTCCTTGGAACATAAAAACAAAGTGATTTTAATTAATTCAGACAGACCTCTACAGGGGTAGGGAGTTACCTGTCAGTCACATTATACTACATCAACTGGTAGAGTGTTGTACATTACACCTGAGAATGGCAACTTCTTGATCTACTACCACAAAAGCAGTGTAAGGTTCTCTTTGCTTCATAAGGATCTAAGGTAGACAGATGCAAAGCTTTTACATCAATTCTTCAGACTATCCAAACATTTCCAGAAAGGAAGTTGTGTGTCACAACCGAGCTATCTCAGGAAGTACAGACCCTAGCACACTTGTAATCAGAAGTCTTCAGTCCCATTTACAACACTCCAATAGCTATCTGCTAATACTGATTTCCACTTAAAAAAAAAATCAAGGATTGGATTTGAAGCAAGTAGTCCAGCATCTCCTTTCAATCTTCTCTATTAAAGAAAACAATGCAGCCTTTACAGAAAGCATCATTATGTGAGCATTCATGTTTTTCTAGTCCTGGCAAGAGGCTGATGACACCAGTAGAAAGAGAAGTACCCAATCCAAACCAACACAACGACTGACAACTTTCAGATACTAACTGGTTTTCTGTAAAACCTGTTTGCCTTCCACATTTGATCCCAGGATGCCTAGTGTGTCCACAGCCACTCCAATCATGGTCGGATCATGACTTTCTGCCATTTCAAATACTTTCTCTATGAAGACCGGGTATCGTTCACAGATCTGCTGTGGACTGTCTACAACAGCCAGATTCCCAAAAAACTTAACAAATCCTGAGGGAACAAGAGAAAAAAGAAGCATTCAGGGCGAGGGCACAATAACTTTAGCAATGGCAAAATTAAACATACATTAAGATCTTTTCGCAGCTAAACTAGTGCTATTGAAACTGAATCCTTGTGAAACGCATCAGAATAAGGATAGCTAAGGAACAGGAGAGTATTTTGGAAGTTACTCAATGAATTCCAGACAGCTGCTACATCATGGATAAAAAAAGGCTACAATAACACAGACTTCAAAGCTTTAGCACAGTCTCTTCAGGTCTTGCCTCCACTACCCCTGTTAATGAGTAATATTATTCATGTGTTAGAATGTCCTTCAGCATTTTTCATATCTATCCAGCACATGTATTTATATTCAAGTGTTCACATGAGCTTTCAGAGGCTTGACAGTCCTCTCAGTTTAACTCGTGAGTAAAGCAAGCAGTAAACACTAGAAGCAAGAAATGAATGATGTTACCTGGTAAATAGAAGCTTGAGAACGGATCAGACTCTGCTCCAACAATGATGTTGGAAATTTTATCGATAACTCCTTGCTGAGCAAGATACTGGCGCCCGTGTGGGGTATGGGCCAGCGAGGTCACCATCTCTATGCATGTAGCCCTGTAACAGACACGTATTTTGGCCTATTTCAGATGGCGTTTTGAAGCCCTCTTTGACTAAGAACAAACTGGTTTTCTTCCCTTAAGGCAAAATCCAAACATAAATGGGGGAAATCTCATTGACAAACTCACTTCCAACATACCTGACCAGCATGTCATCTCCAGTCAGCTCGCCAATTAACTCCGATATTAATCCACTGTTTGCACAGTAATTTAGGGACTCTGCTGACACTGAAGAAATCTCAACAATTAACTAAGAGCAGAGGGAAACAAAAAAAGGGATGGATTCTAAAAACATTCTAGAGATAACAATTCACAGTAACAGCCAAACAAGTCTTATAATGCTGACTATCTATATCAAACACAGAATTTCATGACGTTTTCATAGTTAACTTAGATATTTGCTTTAAACAAGTTCATAAGGAGCTCCAAATTTACAGCACATATATTTGATTTCTGCTCAAAGTTATTTCTTATTCAGATGTTATCCTCATTAAGCTGGCTAAACTCTATTACTTCTCCTTTGCAATACGTATTTAGACTGACACATTTGGCATCTTTCTTCTCAGTCTCTTCCTCCCTCCAGAAGTTTCAAAGCTTCACACCCAAAGCTTAAGAGACTATAGCAGCTACTTTGCTTTCAGAGAAGCAAACATTTTGCTGTGTCTTTATTAACTCTGTGTAGGCCTCCAACGCCCTGGGCAACACAAGTTGCAGAATAGAAGATGGAAACAGTATGCTACAGAAGCGTGAAGTAAACAGAGCTATGTCATTATTTGAGGGCCAACACTGCTGAACTCTTCCTACTCCTTTCTTGTCTTGACAAAATGCAGACATGAAGGGAAGTTTGTAAACCAGTGATGCATGCTAATATAAAAGCCATAAAATACAGATAGCAATGCAGAGCTAGTGCAAGAGGACCATGGTATCACGCCAGTCAAAGGCTGACCTTGATCACATCCCTACCTCGTACACTCGGTATCGAACAACGTCACTTGTTGCCATGACATTTTTCAAGTCACTCAACAAACTGCTCACAAACAAAGCCTCTAAACCATCTTGTGTCTGTGCTATTCTGGAGAGGGATTTGATGGCCTGGAAGCAAAAACAGGAGCTTAGTATTAAAAGCAAAGCCACAAGAGAGTCAGACTTAGTTTCAATGTTCTTAAATTACTAAAGCAAGTTCTACACCTAAAATTTTAGTTGTGATTGACTTTCCATTAAGGGGAGCTGCTTATGGTTACTGTGACCCGAGTCTCTGGCATCAAAATCAGCTCCGAGTTCGCTTTGGCATAAACAGCTACTGAGACATAACAGTTCTATGTAAATTTTCTATCACATCTAAGTAATTTCCAGGCTCAGAGCACCTGCCTGTTTGTAGAATCTTTAAGGCAACATAAGCTATTTTTTATTAAAACAATAGCAGAGGTCATGATCTCAGACACAGCAGAAAAGGTGTTCTGTGTGGTGTCTACATCAGTTTGTAGAGGAAGAAAGCAAGCAGCACTTACCTCTTTAGCCACTGCTATTCTCTCCCCACCAATGCAATTTATTATTTGCCTTAACAGTTCAGGACTGTTGAGAATTTCTGTAACTGCATCTGAATTTTCAACAATCCTCCCGACCTAAACGTGATTAAATACAGGAAAAAAGGAAGACTAAATACATTAAACCAGCTTTTTCTCCTGTAAGGCCATTCAAGCACTAGAACAGCTACCAACAGACAGAATCATGTCAAAAGCCCCTCTGAACTCCACTGGACAAACACTTTGAGCAGCCTGCTGCAAGCTGGGCCTGCTTTCAGAGGGGCTGAATGTGAAACCTCTTGAAGCCTATTCTAAACCACAGTGTTCCCTGATTCTGTTCTTTTAAATTAACGCAACAAGTGTCAAGTTACTACATCCCAGTCTTCATTACTTCCACAAGACCGTTCAAAGCATCCTGACTATCGCAATGCTGCTGCACTTAATTCTTACAGCACCTGCTACCAGTGCTGGCTTAGAGAGCTTTATCCAGCACATGTGGAAGGCGATTCATTTACAAGTTACTGCTGTCACGACATAGTTTTAGATGTCACATTGAACAGATACATCCCAAAGCGTTATATACCAACACACTGCACAGCATTTATCCAAAGCTCCATGACTGTGTAAGTGCACAACTCCTGCATATATCACCTGCTGCAGTGCTTTTGCCACTCATGAGGGCATGGAACAACAGTAACAGGTTAGGACTAACCCAGCCTGGCTGAAAACGGAGCTCTGTCCCCTCCTTCCGGAGGAAACCCCTGTACCTGAGCTATGGAGAGGATTTTCACGGAGTCATCGGGGTGGAACAGCCCTTTCTGAAGTTCCTCCCTCAGGTTCTGGATCACATAGACCGGGTCCAGGGCCGGCAGGAGCCTCTCCAGGATGGAAACACACGCAGCCACCTGCTCCCTGGGCGGCACAGAGACAGAAAAGAACCCTTTCAGGAGCGGGACGCCGCCGGGTGCTCCGGAGCCGCCGCGCTGAAGCAGGGCGGGGAAGCAGACGGGGCAGCCCCGGGAGCCACCGGGTGGACAGGGCGCTGCGGGGCCGGGGCAGGCCCGCGGGGCCGGTGCGGCGCTCACCGGTCACTGACGCCGAGCAGGTCGAAGAGCGCTGTGAGGTGGTCGGCGCTGAGGCGGGCGCGCAGGGCGGCGGGGGGCACGGCCTGCAGGGCGAGGCGCAGGGCCCGCAGCTCCTCCAGCCGCGCCGCCCGCCGCGCCGCCCGCTCCAGCAGCTCCCACACCGCCTCCGCCATCTTGGCGCGCCCTCCAAGCCTCGCGAGATCGCCCCGCCCCTAGCAACCGCCGCGCCGTCGCTAAGGGCTTCTTTCGCGTCCGCACACCCGTAAACAAAATGGCGGGCGCGCCCCGCCTCGCAAGCTGATTGGGCAGGAGTGGGAGGGGCGGGGCCAAGGCTGAGGGGCGGTGATGGCGGTTGAGGGGCGGTGATGGCGGCGGAGGGGGGTCGGGGTCCGTCCCGGAGCGAGCCTGGGCAGCGGCACTGGACTCGCGGCCAGCACGGAGGGGCAGAGCGGTGTCACGCTGTGCAGTGGGTGCCGCGGGCTGGGAAGGGGCTGCAGTGCTGGGACCCCCTCTCGCAGTGATGGGGACAGCTCAGCCTCCTCATGGTGGGACGCGCTGCAGGAAAACATAGGGTTTGCTTCACAGCAGAAGAGGACAAACGTCGCTTTCAGCCCGTGGACAAGAGGAGAGACAACTGAGGGTAGCAAATACGTGGCTGTTGCCATACTGCGAAGCTCGGGGGTCCTTGATGCCTCCCCAAGGCTTCTTCAGTGCCCTGTCTGAGCCCAGGCTCAGGCTGCTGATGCAAGGGCTGTGCAATACATGGGCTTCCCTAATAGCTTGTGAGGACTGAGGTAACACCGTAAAGTCACAGGGTGACAGAATGGAGCCTCTGTGCTGGGCTGCGCACGAGAGCGTTCTGGGCCCAAACAGCACGACAACGATCGGCAGCTTCTTCACTGTTTGTATTCAAAGAGAACAGAGCCCCAGTGGTATTAAATCTGAGAAAATAACTTTTTTTTATAGGCAGGAAAATGAAGCAAAAGTGGCATCAACAAGTGTGCATGAGATGGCGTTGGGGGATCCCAGTGCTGAGGGATTCCTCCAGCAGATGCTGGTGCAGTTGTGGTAACAGCACCCATGTTCGTGTCCGTTTACCCCTGCTGCGGTTGGACCCCATTTCTGGGGGACCGCAGCTCTGCGGGTGAGGAATAGCAAGGGGCAGGCAGGGAGCCTGGGTGCCAGGGCTGGGGCTGGCAGGGAAGAGCCCATGGGGATGCAGGAGGACCGTGGGGACCCCGTGCTGGCGCCTGGGCCATGGCTCAGCCCCACGCTGGGGCAGGCAGGCGGGTGCCAGCCTGCAGGGGAGGAAGAGGAGGAGGAGCCAGCGCTGGCTGCGGGCAGCGCTCCCAGCTCGGGGCAGCGCAGGTGGAGCGATGGGAGCCTCGGCAGCCGCGGAGATGGAGGGGCTGAGCCAGCGCTGCCCGCTGCTGCCCGCTGCCCAGGGCTGCCCCCGCGCGGGCCGCGCCGCCCTGCTGCTGGTAAGGGGGGTCCCTCCATCGGGGGGGAGCGGGGGATGCGATGGGAGCGCCCTGAACGCCGGCCCGAGGGACCACGGCAACCTCACAGGGAGAGGATGGTGCAGGCGGAACGCACTCAGTCTGCAGAGAGCACAGGGAGGTCCCGAGGAGTAATTCCCACTCGCGCCAGGAGCCTCACAGCACACAGGTTGCGTTTGGGGTTTGTGTTCTTTTTGACAGAACCTCACCAAAACCGGGCAAAAAGCCCCAGCGCGGTGATTTTAAACCCCGAGGCTGGTTTTAGTGCAGCGAAGCCAAAAGAAATCCTGCAGAAGTTTCAGTCTCTCTAAACTCGGCTGGAATTCTGCTGCTCGGTGCTGCTCGATGGAATGCTTACATCTGACAGCAGGATTCTCAGTGTTGGTCAACATTTTGGCAGTGGGTTTGTTGGGTTTATCAGGTCGTTTCACTCCATTTTTGCACCATCCTTTGGAAATACAATCATCTGGGGGCAAAAGAGCAGCTTTTATCTTTCTTCACAGAAAAAAAAAAAGGGGGAAAACCACCCAAAACGCCCACAAGAGAGTGGTCGCTCTTCAATGCAAATGGTCATGGGGATTTCCCCATCCCACGCACTTACATTTTCCAAGGAGATTAATGATTGCCGTGCTGAACAGGTCAGATTATGTTTTCTTTGCTAAGCAGGGAGCATGATTACATTCTAATCTGGAAAAATACATAGACCAGCATATTTCTGTTTGTTTTAACTCTCTTGAGTAGCTCCTGGGATTTGTTGCATCATATTTGCTAAATGGCTTAGTGAGGGAAAAAACACAAAAGAAGCTCTAAAGATTCTTATGAGAACCCTTGTGATAACAAAGAACATTTCCTCAAATGGGTTGGAAAAGAGGAGACAACCGATACAGCTCATCCGTCATGTTCCAAATGTGAATGAGCTCTTGTGGTGACAAGAGATTTCCTTAATTCAATCTTAATAGAACCCAAGTTATGACATGGGCCCATGGAATTTTCAGAGGACAAAGGAGGGAGGAAATAAGGAATATATTCTTAGTGTTATAAGCACCTTTTTCATGGCTGTGGCTGAATAAGGGCCAGATGCTGTTTATTCCAAAACAAGACAAAAGACAAAGAGAGAGCAGCTGTGCGGAGAGGGTGAGTGCTGCAGCCCCGGGTACGGCACCATCCTGCAGCCATTACTCAGCACACCAAATTAACCTTGCCCTTGCTGCTCCTGCAGCGTCCTGCTGAGCTGATTGTCTATTTTCATGTGGTTGTTTATGGCATGTGGGTACAAAGAGCAGCGAAGGGGCTTGGCAGCAATAATGGACACAAAACCAACCTGTTGCCACTGCGCTGCCAGCCTATGGAGAAGGTGTTACTGTTTTCTGCAGCCCATTGGACAGAGACCTGGGCTGTGTCCATTAGGGGTTTTGTGCCCCAAAGGATGCAATTTCACTGTCCTATTAGTATGAGAGAATTAGGAAGAAATGAACTTAAATCCCGTGCTTAAGTCTTCTCTCCCTTGCCTGCTAGTGAGAGTCTGTCATAGCCTGGGTGGGCTGTACAACATCCACCAGCAGGAGAGAGTAATTGTCCCTCCACAGACTGTCTTAGCCCAGGGCTCTGCTCCCACACCAGGCTCCAGCCCACCTCTGTTTTCTATGGACAGATCCCTACCCTACTTGACCTACTGTTCTCCTTTACACATCTGTGGGGAGGCAGAGGGTCCCATCCCCACGGATTCCCAGAGGGGTGGACATGCCTCACCCTGCAGCTAAAGCAGGAAAGATGTGTTTTAACAGAGACAACAGGCGACTTACCTCCTTATTCTCCTTTGGAAAACCAGTTGTGGCTGCAGAGACTGTGTGGTAGGGTCTGTAACCCAGAGGTCTGGGCACTTCTGGGCTGATGCAGCCTCCAAACCTCACCCTTTCCTGCCCCATGGAAGGAGAATGGATCTCCCTATGAGGATGTTTTCACTGAAGTTACGAGTAGCATTACTGTAATGTTGAAAGAAGGCCAGAGACTTCCCTTGAGCCACAGGTAAGTCCCTGCTTTTACAAAAGGCAGTACCTTCCCCTGGCATCATCACTCACACGGATTGCATTTTAGGTGGTGACTCTGTCGTTGCTGATGTACCCGGTGCTGAGGAGTCTCACTCTTCAGCTGCACTCTGCCATCACCGGCAGCTACATCTCTGGGTCTCACTCCATTGCCTTCATCAACTGCCTCAACGAGCAGATTGCCAAGGATATCGCAAGGTACAGAGACACTTCCCCTGATGGCTGCTGGAATTGTTTGAAGTGGAAAAGCAAGCTTTATTCTTGTGGAACAAAGCTTTTCCGTGTCTCTTGAGAGCATCTGTACTTCCCTGCGCTTTGTACTTCTACCCAAACGGTGTTCCTTTTCTCCTGCGCTCTCGTCTCCCTGCACCATGTATCCACTCACCAAGAGCTGCGCTTTCTAAAAGAAAGCTGGCAATTGTCTCTGAAGTCAGCGCTGCAGTAACATCAAGCCAATTCTCAGTTTATTCCAGTGCCTTTCATTTTAAAGCCATGGCCCTAAATCTTCGGGTCCTCAGATGGATTAAGCCCCAATTCCATGTTCTCTGATCTAACAGAGTCTTTCTTCTTCTCTAGAGCAATACAGATAACAAATTGCAGGAGAGGTGTTTATGGAGGGGGATAAAGCACAGCACACTGCCATGAGAATAAGCATGAGACAGAAGTGGTCCACAGCAAAGAGAACAGGCACTTCAGGCACCACCTGAAGCCTGCACTCTGCTGACCAAACTTCAGGGAATAAGGAGTTTGCCTTGATTTTTCCCCCTCTTTTAACATATGGGATACTTTGCATGCTGCTTTGCATGCAGGTTGTTTTTCACACATCTGTCAGGCCCTGCTTCAATAGATGGTTTGTTCAAAGCACTGTGACTGTGTTGACTGGGGCAATGTTTATGATGGACCATGAAGTTTCCTGCAACACCTCCTGTGCTGTTTTCCCTGCTACCTTGCTGCTTGCCAAAACCTCTCTGTCTTCCCAAAAAGTCATTCAGGAACTGACAGGCTTTCTGAAAGGGATTTTGTGTCACCTTAAATACTGCAACTGTAGGAGGAAATTCAAATAGGATAATGTCTGCACTGCTCGGTGTCTTCTGCAAAAAGGAGTAACTGTACATGGCTGGTGAAAGAGCCTCAGTTCCTCAAAATGCTTCATCTCAACACCTTTGCAAATGTTTTCCACTCTTTGTTCCTTATCTTGCAGGGAAGGGAGGGGAAAGAAATCCCTCCCCATTGCTGAGTTATGTGTACTGTGGTTGTGTTTTTACTGGTGGAGTAATTATTCCTTTGTTCTGGGGTTTGGGTGAATGAGGCGTGGTGATAGAGGATGGCATGGAGCTTCTACACTCATTTTCCTACACACCTTTTTCCTGTGCTGTTGCTTATTCTTCCTTTGCATTGCTCAGAGGAGCACTCTGACAGATCAGTCTGCAAGGAAATTTCCACTGGTTTTAAGGAAAAAGGGTTCAATGTTTGGGAAAGCAGATTAACTGCAGGTAGAATTCAGTATCCAGCTTGTTTGTTGTGTCAGTTCTGACCCAGTTTATCAGGATTGCTGTTAACTTTAAAGCCTCAGAAGAACCCCCCGAGTCCACACAGATCTGCCCTCTCCCCTGTGCCTGCTGTGAGAAGCTGACCCCTTTGGGCTGGATGATGTGGCCACTGCACCTCACATAAGAGCTGAGCAGCCTCGGGTTCTGCCTTAGACTCGTGCAGATCATTTTCCCTGCTTCTCTGCTTATTAATATTTCATCTGTCTCAGTTCAGCGCCTGCTGTGAGGCAGGGACACACATCAAGTGCCCAGCCCAAAGATATCATGTATTATGCAGACGTTTTCCACTGATCACATTCAGCTTTTTATGATGCTTCCCGTTCCCATGGCGGCCGCTTGTTTCCTCTTGAGTTTGCTAGAACAAAGTTCAGGATCTCAGTCGGGATCACAGCATATTGGAACAGAGCAGAAGCAATTAGAAGCTACCCACTCAAATCAAAAGGTTCCTGCACTAAAGTGACTTGGGGGATGCAGGCAGCAGAAACAAAAGGATTTGTGCCATGTGTTCGACATGACAAACGCAGTGGGGGATATCTCCGCTCCTGCTGCTGCAGTTTGTTGGTCTACAGATTAACTCAAGATGCTCTACAAGCATTAAATGCCTACCACTGGCTGCACATGGTGAGAGCAAACAACCCAGAACCTCCTCAATGGCTGTCCTCTCCAAGCCATGGGCAGGGAGAAGCCCATCTCCATCACCTTGTTGTGCTTAGACATTAAACCCAATTCCTCCAGTTAGCTGGGTGCAGGCACTGGTTCTCCAGTGCAGTGCTGGGATGGAAAGATGTTATGGGATCAGTCAGGAAGGGCTGCTTTCCTCCCCGTGCTCTGGCAGCTCCCAGATCCTCCCTGACCTGCAGCAGAGCCTGAGCAGCCCCATGAGGGCACTTTCGCCTTGTGCTCATAGTTGCAAGGTACAAAGCTCTATGGGGAAAGCAGGGCTGATAATGCAGACAAATGCAAAGGAGCTGATGCACATTCAAACGAGAGCCCAGCGTTCCCTGATTGCAAGGTGAGGTACAGCAGGGAGGCTCCTTCTGCTCCTCTTCAAGAGTTAAGTTTTGCAGGTTGTTGAATCAAGCGTTCCCATATCTCATCATTCCGGTCTTCTCTGCAGTTCAAAGTCAACTAGAAGTTAAATGTTTGCATTGTCATAGCACCTGGTGCAAAGTAGTGCCTAGTGAGGCCAGCGTTAAGGAAAACCAAAGGGGAAGGCACTAGTGTCGTGCCTTACCAGAGCTGCTTGCATGAGGGACGGGGCTGCCATCGCTGTGAGAAGGGCACAGACATTGCTGTGGTCAGAAAACACATCTGACCTAGTTCTTCTCAAAATCCACCCTGACATTGCTTCAGGGCTCTTTAATCACCCAAATATCACTTCTGCTGGTAGACCCAAGCAGCTCTGCAGTAACACATCAGCCCACAGCTAAAAGAAGCAGCCAGAGGGAAGGAATTTAATTTGGGCTTCAGATTTCTAGGACATTTTGGGTAGAAAAACCTTGATGTTGTTAGTTTAACAAGCTCCACATTTAATCTGTTACACGAGGAAGGGGTACACTTTGACAGCATAAATACATGGCCGGGAAACAAACCCCTTTTTATCCATCCCAGACCCAGCTCTTGTGGCTGTGCCCTGGTGTCCCCATGGGGAGATGTGCACTGGGCTGCTGCCAGGCAGGGTCCTTGCAGTGTATGAGGCACAGGTCCTGTGTGCTGCTCCAGGCCAGGAGCAACACCCAACCCTCCTGCTCAGCAGGGAGTGCCCCCCAGAACCATGCCACGAGGACCTGAGCTGAAGTAGCTCCAGCTATAGGGCACCTCTGCATCTGCTTCCTCAGGGTAATAACCCCAGATCCCAGGTCTCCAGCATCAAAGCTGCTGCTGGCAGTCAGGGGCAGCACAAGGGGATGTCCCTGTGCCTGGGAGTGGGTGCTGAGCCACAGCAAGCTGGGACAGGCACTAACTCCTCCTCCTGTCTCACCCAGGGCCATCATGGATAAGAAGCTGGCTGCCTACGTGAACATCCTGCCCAAGAGCTCAGCCTTGTAAGTTGGGCTCAATATTCTCCAATGGAGGAGGCAAACCCAGGCTCCCCACGGGGAGGAGATGGACACCCCGAGCCCTGGGGAGAGGAGGCAGTTTCCAGAAGGCTGCTGGCTCTGTTGGTTGTTGCAGATGGTAAAGACGATCCTCACCCGTGCAAAGTGCTCCCAGCTTATTCAGGAGTGCAGATGCTCCAGCTGCCCATGGGGACCACTTATTTATTGGTTACTCGGCTACATAGAGATCTAGCAAAGAGGGAGGTGATTTATGGGCCTGAGGATGTGGCGCCTATTTTTAGAGGACCTAAAGAGCAGCTAAGACAGGGAGCAGAAAATTGGCCTTTACAGAATTAAGCAGCACTTTCAGGAAGGAAAAACCAGCATCTTTGACCTTGAAATACAACCAGCCATGTTCTGCAGGTATCCTCAGCCATCCATGCAAAGGGACTGCATTTGTTAAAGGGGTTAAAGAAAAAAAGCCCAAAAACAGGGTGCTCTTAGAAGCACCCCGGCCTACCCCTGCACCCCCAAGACTCTCCCATAGCCCAGCTGAGGCTGCTGAAAGGGGGCAAACCCAGTAAGATCATTCCTCCCTTGTGCCACAATGGCCAGAGCCGAGTTGCTCTCGCGCAGCCTTGCCTGCTTCAGCTGGTTCCTCCTGCTCGAGAGACACCGCGACGCCTCTGATTGCATCCTCGCACAGAACCCAGCACACAGATGAAATCCCCACGGCCTTTTGTCAACATAAATGTTCTGAGAGGTCAGTTCTGACTCAGGAGAAGTGCATCTCCTCTCCTGCAGGGAAAGAGAGGAGAAAACCAAGAAGCTGCTGTACTCAGCTTCTCAGCCGCAGCCGTGATACAGTCCCTGTGGGCACTGTTCCCAGGCTTGGAGCAGGGCCACCACCGCACAGCCCTGCCACATGGCCACCCCAGTCCCAGCTCCTGTGCCCTGCTGTCCCCTGGGGCATCTCTCTCTAGACTGGCACAGCCAAGAAGGCTCTAGTCTGTGAATCCAGGGTGCTCAGTCACATGCACTGCAGCATTTTGGACCAGCGATGCTTCTTGAGCATCACTTTGTAAAGGTGTAGAAAGCACCAGGCAGGGAAGTGAACCTCCTCCCTGGGGTATCAGCAGGGCTGCAGCCAGAGCTGCATTTGCTGATGCTTCTTTTCTTTTAAATCTAGGTATTTCTGGGAAGGGGAACTGGAGGAATCCACTGAAATACTGCTGGTAAGTGACCATTCCCACATCACAAAATCCCCATCCCAGCCCAAGATTTGGGACCTGAGCACCCACCTGAGGGCATGGCAGTGGTGACCGGGGCTGGCATGCTGGATGGGTGCAGTGGGACTGTGCAGGCAGGATTGCTCCATCCCCTTTATTCTCCCTCGGGGTTTGTTTCAGTTTGGGTTTTTTTACTCTCCACAGTTGGTGAAAACAAGGACATCAAAAATAGGCGAATTGTCCAACTACGTCAGGTGAGGCTCTGGCTCTGCAGGAGCACTGGGTTTCCAGTCCAAGGTAGGCTGCCATCTCCTGCTCAGGCTTTGGGAGTCGGGTCCCTTGAGCCCCTTCCCACCCAGTAAGGGTGAGGCTAAGTGGTCCTGATGTACCTTGTGGCTAGAAAAACCCAGAGATGGCATCAGCAGAAAAGGGTGGCACAAATATCAGCTCTTGTACCCTCTGTACTGGGTACAGGGAGGGATTGTCCTCCAAACACAGGTCATTCCCTGGCAGGATTTCCTGTGTTTCCCAAGCACTGGGTGGTGAGCAGAGCCAGCTTTGGGCCAGGGCCCCTGGCAGTCAGCTGCTGGCTGCGGTAAACCCCAAGCTCAAAGCGACATTCTCACATGGCAAAAAGAAGATGCGGGTGCTTTGAAGCCAGCGCACGGCTGGGAGCAGAGACCTCTGCTTCCTGCGCCTGCAAGCGGGGCTGCTGGTGACACTGTTCCTCTGCGTCTGTTTCCACTTTAGATCCATCCATCCCTTTGAAATTCCCGAAACCATCAGCCTGCCTATTGACCAAGGAAACCCTCTCTACCTCAAATGGCTGGAGGAAAGCGTCCCACAGGATTAACTGAAAGCACCAGGGAAAACATGCTGAGCCCCGCTGGTCTCCCAGTGCAGGCTGACACAAGGAAGCAGTTTATATCTTCACCAGTTTGCTTATAACACAGAAACTTGGGATTGGGAATATCATTTGCACTCGAAACCTCCCCTCCTTGGCCTGACCCTGTGCTCCAGGATACACCGAGCAGCCCGGAGGCAGCAGGATGTGGCCGGGTGCCCCGCGATGCGCTGGCTCACACCCTCTGCTGCTGCCATGCAACGTGCTGGTTCAAGTCCTACAGAATCCAAGGGAACAGCAGACTTAAGCAGATGCCACAAGGATTTACCAGGAGCTGCAAGCAGCACACACACTGACCCTACCCGCCGAGCTGGGCTGAGCAACATCCATGGCCAGTTCAGGGAAAGCAAGTGCAGCAGGACCAGGACATCACCAGCCCTGCATCCCCTACCCACCTCTCAAGAGTGGCTTTCTACCCAGGCCATGTTTAACCTTGCAAAAAGATGCTCACATTAATAGTTTAATGGGAAATAGCTTACGGAACGGGATCAAGTTATTTGTGAGACTGGGAAGGAAATAAACAGCAGTGTTTCCTACCTGGGCAGGCTCAGTGTTGATGCAGTCTGCTGCTACAGCGAGCTGGGCAAGACGAAGGGCTCATCGTGGGTTTGCATTGACTCTCCTTGGCCTGATGTTGACTGATGCTCCACTGGCTCCCATCTGCCCATTTTGGGCTCATAATCAAGTGGTACAGGGCATTCAGGCAGGCTTGTGTATGGCCCCATCAGCTCTCAGAGGAGGTGCAGGGAAAAAAAGACAAGAAGGAAAATGGTCTGAGCTCTGAGAGCAGGAAACAGCAGTGCTAAACCCAAAGAAACTGCCCCCAGTCTCCCCTTTGCATCCTTCTGCTGTTCTTGTGCTTCACAGCAGCATCTCTCCAGCTGAGGGCACATCTCACCCTGGCACAGAGCATGGCTCAGCAATGGACACATGCCTGGGAGCACACACTGACCCCCAGTGCCCAAACTCAGTAATCCTGACACTCCAAAGAACCAGGGATGTTAGAAAAATCCTCGACTTTTTAATTGTACATCAGACATATTAATTACAACTTGGGTATAACAAGGGCTGGTTATTGCAAGCAGCAACCTGACCTCATAAATCTTTAGAAGGTGCACAGAGTCATTTTAATTATCTATTACAGCTAATACAAAATATACTCTGCAACAGAGATAGTTTTTTAAGGCTCCACATTCAATTCTCTGCAAGAGGCCAACAAGAGAAGAAAGGGAACAGAGGGAGAGGTGAGGAACCAAGGCCACATGGTGGGTGCTCCCACCCATGCAATGTCCATTGGCCATCCCATGGGAATCATCCCCCTCCATGGCCCTGGCACAGCTCTTGGCAGCCCCTGGACTCGCAGGCAGCAATGTGGACAATAACAAGGGCTTCACAGGCACTCGTGAAAGGGGAATACTTTAAGTGACCCTTTGGTGATGAAGCCAAGGCAGGATGGGGAGTGACCATGCTGGCTGCAGGAGCTGCACCTCTCCTGTAGGGATGGGGGGTCCCATCTCCCAAAAGGATGACACCTTCCAGCCTCATGGGACAGCCCCAGTGGTGACAGGGAAGAGACAAGGAGGACAACGTTAAAAATCTCTTTCTCTCTTAGAACAAAATAAATCTAACAAATACATCTGATGCTATTAGAATTCCTTTAAAAAAAGACAACTGCTTTGCTCCTGAACACCCTGGCTCTATTGCTTTAGTTTGAGAAGGGGCTGCTCCTCCTCTTCTGCAGACAAATCAACCTCACATGCTCACAAACATCCACACCATGCTGGTAGCAGAAAGCAGAGCAAGGCACAGCCACGAGGCCACCAGGATGGCTGTGGGGACCTGGTACAACCCCTCCCCATGCCCCTGCTGTTCTCTTCAGTCTTTTTGGTTTGTCTGCTTGTTTGGCACATTCAGGACAAGAATTCCCATGGGAACAAAGGCCTCAGGCTCCAGTCTGTGCAATGCCCGTGGTGGTTTTAAGGCAAGGGTGTATCTTTTGGCTGATCTCTTCCAAGACCACGATTGTCAGAAGAACAGGGAAACGAAGCTGGTGCATCACCACACACAGTCCAGGCAACCACGTACATCTGCCCCGCAGCCACGAAAGCTGGCTACACGAGGGCTGTTGACAGGGCATTTCCCCCTCATTTAAAACAAACCACATTCCTTTAATGAATGGATTTATGAGGAGGAGGAAAACCCCACACACTCTGGAGAGAGTCACCCACAGTCTCCTATAGGCACAGGGACGGGCAGTGAAAACCCAGGTGAGGGAGGTGCTTTCTGCTTTACCAGCAGAAACCCCTCAAGTCTGCACTGTAAGGCTTGGACGTGACATCTGTCTGTGTGAGCAGGTTGTGGGGTACCCCCCAGGAGGCTTCCCCAGGGGCACCCAGCCATGCTGGGGGACCCTTCTGGAAAGGCCAGACCCACTCACTGCTCTTACCACCACCGTTGTGGTGCCTTGGGCTCGGACAAAGGCTCCATCAGGAAAGCGGAGCTGGGCCACACTCTTTGCATACACATGGCCATTGAAGTAACAGTTATTAAAACAGCAAGGCTGCGGGTTTCACCAAGGATAGCACCACTGAAGGCACCGGCTCCAGCGCTGCCTCCATCCATGGTGGCTCCCAAGGATCCGGCCCCAGCCAGGACCACCAGCACAGAGAGGTCCCAGCCCTGCCGCAGACGAGCTCCTCTGATTCATAGCGAGGGGTTCCCATCATCCCCATCTCCTCTGGTTTGGCTCTGGGAGAGGTTCTGGGGCTGGCTGGGCTCAGTACGGGGTCGTGCCTTCCCACTCCACCAGGTACTGCACCTTCCCCTCCAGCGTCACCCTTCGCGCCAGCACCTGGTACTTCTCCCCGCACACCAGCCTGCCTGCTGCCCCGAAGTAGCTGCTGATGGAGGACTTGAGGTGGGAGAGGGAGGAGTCGTCCTCGCTGATGCTCTCGAAGGTGTGGCTGTCGATGCCGTCATCGGCACGGTCCGGGCCGCAGGCTGCCTCGCTGCCCTCAGGGGTGCCCGTGGCCGGGCGCCCGCCCATCTCCCCACTTCTCCTCTTGGCCCCTGCCAAGGCGTACGCTGGTGATGACAACTTGCGCTTGCGGCTGCCCACGGTCCTCCGGCTGCGAGAGGGGACAGAGGAGAGGTGAGGGCAGCACCCAAAAGGTCCCCCTTGCACCGTACTTGCTGTACCCACACTGTGACCATGGGGGGGATCAGGCTGGGAATTGGGGTGAGCCCAGGAAGGACCAACAGCTCTGACCCTGCACACTCAGCAAGGCTTTGGGACCAGAGAGGAAAGGCTCCCTGATGTGGGACATCCCCCTGCCAGGACATGAGGGTGCTGTGGTGGGAAAGGGGCACCCCTTACCTCCCCGGCCATGCCACTGGCTCCCCCGTGGAAGGGCCAAGAGGCACAGCCCTCACCTGGACTCATAGGAGAGGCTTGTGGTGGCTGAGCCCGAGGTGCTGGCAGCATCCGTGGAGTCCACATCTGATAGGAAAGTCTGTCCCGAGCTGGCACTGGAGACAAGATGCAGCATCAGCCCCAGCCTGGTGCGAGGGTCACTTCAGCCCATCTCATCCCCAGCCCTGCCTTCACACTTGGGTGTTTTAACCACCCCCTGGCCACCCACAGCCCTGCCCCAGCCGCACGGACCTTTTCAGGCTCTGAATTTCGTCCAGTGTGAAGTCGAAGATGCTGGCCAGGTGGTGGTTGGTGCTCCAGGCCGAGGTGAAGTCACTCTGCGCCGCGAAAACAAGCTCAGTCGTCACTGCCGAGCGGAGCGGTGCTGCCCGCGGCCCCGGCATCGTCCCCCTCTGCCCGGGAGCCACCGCGCTCCTTCCCCTGGGAAGCGGGCTTGGCACAGAACGTTTGCAAACCCCAGGGCGAGGGACGGGGGCTCTCCCTGCCCGCAGGAGCGGGGGAACCTTGTGGGGAGCCCCAGGGATGGGAATGGGGGTCCCACTCGGCTGCTAAGCCCCGGGTGGTTGTGCAGAGGAGGGGGCAATGGACTCACACTGGGAATGGCATCCTCCAGCAGAAACTTGGCCCTCTTGCGCCGTGCTGCTCGCCGCTTCTGCTGCTGGAGCTGCCGTGGCAGCAGGCTGCAGAGCAAGCGGAGGTGAGGGGGGGTGAGACCACCCCAGGGGTGCAGAAGCAAGGGGTGCCTGGGTCACTTTGGTCTCTCACCTCTCTTTATGGACATATTTGCTTTTTCCCCTCTTCTTCAGCTCGCAGGAGCCACTTTCTCCCACGCCGGGGGCCTTCTCTGGCAGCACCTTGCTGGGGGGGTTTGGTGGGACACGGATCCGCAGACGGAAGATGCATTTCTTCTTTTTGATTTCCTTCCCACACAGAAACCTGAGAGGTGAAGGGGAGGAAGCAGCCCTCAGGCGGGGGGAACACGGGAGCATCCTGCATCCCATCGCATCCCCATCACCAGGTCTCACCTGCTTTTGTAGCTGTTCAGGGCATTGAGGAGGTGGGGGCCGCGCTCGGAGATGGGGGTACCTGTCAGCTGTGGGAGACGGTAGTGGTCAGGCAGGGCTGTGATGCAAAGGCTGCTCTCCAGCCTCATCCCAAGCTGCACAATTTTACCTTCCCGAGCTGCAGCGGGTCCCAGTGGTGGTTCACGAAGGCCAAGATCTCCTCAAAGTCAAAGTATTTCTTCTTGCTCTGTACACCCAGGTTGTAGAGGGCGAGATGGACGACATCCACCCTGCAGGAGCGACGAGGTTGGGAGGGTCAGCAGCCCACCCTCTCCCCAGCAGGATGGCTCCAGCCCAGTTTTCCAGCTTTTTAACAAGCCTCAGCCGTGTGCTCTTGCTGCAGTTAGGCACAGTACATCTTATTCATGTGAATTGTAGCTAGATAGCAAGCTCTGAAAACTGTGGCTGCCCCATTCCTGGCAGTGCTCAAGGCCAGGTTGGACACAGGGGCTTGGAGCAAGCTGCTCTAGTGGAAGGTGTCCCTGCCCGTGGCAGGGGTTGGAACTGGTTGAGCTTTAAGGTCCCTTCAACTCAAAACATTCCCAGCAGCCCATCAGCACCAGTAACACGGCCAAGCACAAGAGGAGCAGCAGGAAGGAGCTGGGCTGCCAGCACTGTTAATACACTTTACAAAGTGCTTTCAGGCCACCAAGGTACACTTGAAGGTACAAAGGAGCTAGGGCTGTTTCTTACCATCTCAGGGGCAGGCGCTTGATATATTCAGGTCCCTGGTTGCACACAGAGCAGAAAAACACATAGAACCTGGAAAACAGCAGGGAGGGAGAGTTCTGGGGTGGGGGTCACCCCATAGCCATGCAGGGCTTAGGGAAGGATGGGGTGAGGAAGAGTGCTCCAGTTGCTAACAGCTGACAGCATGGCCAGGAGGAGCTGAGCTCTGCAGGACAGGGCCACCTGCTTGCACCAGGGCAGTTGGATCAGAGAGATATGGACTGGGGATGTGTCCACGCATGAGCCCTCGTGGGAAGCCAGTTCTGACACCCAGCACCAGCCCAGCAGAGTCTGGAAGGGACGTACCGGTCCCCGAACATCATGGGATCGTTGAGGCACTGGGTGCAGGCTTCATGGAACCACTGCCGGCAGCGGTAGCACTGCAGCATCTTCAGGTACCACCTGGGGAGGGAGAGGAGGTGGGTGACAGTGAGGGCAGTGTGTGGCAACCACTGCCCTGGCCCCCTCCCATGCACAGAGACCCCAAACAGGTAAAGAAGGTCTGCCCCCAACTTGTATTTAATGCAGCCACAGACGTGGGTACAAACAGAGCCTCCAGGAATGAACGGAGATCCAGATGGCAAAGCCAGGACAATGCCCTGCAAGCTGGGGACTTGTCTCCTGGAAGGGATAAAATCCCGACCCTGATCCCACCTTCATTTGTGCATGCTCTTCCCCACCAAACCGGACACAACCACCCTCCTGGCAGGCAGGGGCTTACTCGCCAGGGCCACCGCAGTAGCAGTAGCACTGCTGCTGGTTGGTCCGGTGTGGGGAGTCCCACTCGAGCAGGTCGGGGTTGTAGGACAGCACCATCTTGACAGCTTGCAGCGTCTTGGCAATGGCCCCCTTCTTCAGGGCACCCCCCTTCTGCAGAGGTGAGCAGGGTAAGGGTCAGTACAGCCACTTGAGGGCCGCATCCTGCACCAAGGGTGGGCAGCACAC